AATATAGTTTTAGTTAAATTGAAAGCTTTTAATATAGAGACTAGCTATTTATGAGTTTTAGGGGTTTTTATTTTTTTAATTAAAATACCTATATATGGGGTTCATATTTGATTAACTAAAGCTCATGTTGAAGCTCCTGTCTACGGGTCTATAGTTTTAGCTGGGATTTTATTAAAGTTAGGAGGATATGGTCTTTATTGTTTAATAAATTATCTTAGAATTGTGAAATTTAAAATTTTGAGATGTAGTATTTTAAGAATTAGATTAATAGGGGCTTTAATAATTAGTGTAATTTGTTTACGTCAGATGGATGTAAAATTGATTATTGCTTGTTCGTCGGTTAGACATATAAGAATAGTGTTAGGAGGAATATTTTCTTTTAGTGAAATAGGGCTATGAGGGAGAGTGGGGCTAATATACGCACATGGGCTGTGTTCAAGAGGAATATTTTTTTTTAGAAATATCTTATATGATCGTTTGTATACACGAAATTTAATTTTTTTTAAAGGTTTATTTTATATTTATCCTTTTTTAGTTTATTTATGAATTTTATTTAATTTAATTAACATAGGTTTTCCTCCTTTTATAAATTTTTTTTTTGAGTTAATTTTAGTTTTTAGAATTATTAATAATAGACTATTTTTTATTTTTTTACTGTCAATTAATTTAATATTAGTTGTATTTTATAGTTTATTGTTATTTTGTCGGCTAGGGCATGGGAATACTTATTTATATCAATATATTATTAAAAATTTAAGGTTTTTAGAATTAAAGATTTTGATCTTTCATCTTTTTTATTTGTTTTTATTTTTAATAAAAATTAGTTTTATTATTTGTTTGGTTTAAATTTAAAATTTATATTTAAATTATATTTTTTACTTTGAAGGTAAATAGTTTTATTAACTTAAAATTTTAATTAGTTAGCTATGTATAAGCGTTTATTTTGAAAATAAAAGAAAGAATTTTCTACTAGTTTAATGTTAAAAGATTAAGCGTTTGCTTGTTAAAAAGTTAGAAGCTTTTTTTAGATCTTTACAAGGATTTGATAAAATTAATAAAATTATTTATGTTAGAAATTTTTAAGCAAATAGGTATAAATCTGTGGTTTGCTCCACAAATTTCTGAACATTGACCATAAAATATCCCTGGTCGAGAAGGGTATAGATTAATTTGGTTTAAACGACCGGGGATTGCGTCAGTTTTTACCCCTATTCTTTGAATCGTTCAAGAGTGAATTACATCAGCGGAAGTGATAAGTAATCGTGTAAAAGTGTTTATAGGGATATAAATTTTATTATCAGTTTCAATTAATCGAAATTTTTCTTTTCTGTTTTCTATGAATGAGTCAAATCTGCAATTAAAATCTCTATATTCGTAGGATCAATATCATTGGTGGCCGATGATTTTTATTGTAAGGTTAGGTGAAAAAGTTTCTTCTATTAAATACAGTAAACGAAGGCTAGGGAGAGCGATGAAAATTAATAGTAGTATAGGTATTAGTGTTCAGATTAATTCTAGAGTTTGATTTTCGTTTAGATTTAAATTAACACTATTTAAATACATTATTCTGAGTAAGTTAATTAATAGAAATCTAATAATTCTAGAGATTACAATTATTGAGTGATCATGAAAAAAGAGTAGTTGTTCTATAATAGGAGAATTAGCGTTTTGGAAATATATTCTATTTCAGTGTGACATAGTGGGTTAGAAAAGAAATTTCATCAAAGGTATGAGAGATTGGCCTGTTTTGGACAAATCATTCTGAGTCTGGGCCTCTGAAGTTATAAATAAATAGTTTGTTTTTATGAATTAATCTTAAATAAATTATTGAGATGAATAAAAACACACTGGTAATTCTAATTATACTTCCTAGAGAAGAAATTCAATTCCATAAATAAAAGAAGTCAGGATAATCAGAATATCGTCGAGGTATGCCATTTAGACCTAAAAAGTGTTGAGGAAAGAAAGTTATGTTCACGCCTGTGAATATTAGGAAAAAGTGAATTTTTATTAAATTATTATTAAATCTTATGCTAAATATTATGGGCCATCAAAAGAAAACTCCTCTAAAAATTGCAAATACAGCTCCTATAGATAAAACGTAGTGAAAATGAGCAACTACGTAGTAGGTGTCATGAAGAATAGTGTCAATTGAGGAGTTTGCTAGAATTACTCCTGTTACGCCTCCTATTGAGAATAAAAAAATAAATCCGATATTTCAAATTATGGAGATATTTCATTTGAAGTATGATCCATAAATAGTTGCTATTCATGAGAAAATTTTAATTCCTGTAGGAACGGCGATAATTATAGTGGCGGCAGTAAAATATGCTCGTGAGTCGATGTCTATACCTACTGTGAACATGTGATGAGCTCATACAATAAATCCTAATAATCCGATAGCTATTATTGCATAAATTATCCCTAAAGCGCCAAATGTTTGTTTTTTATTTCTATTGGTAAAAATAGTTTGTGAGATAATTCCAAATCCGGGCAGGATCAAAATATATACTTCTGGGTGGCCAAAAAATCAAAATAAGTGTTGGTATAATACAGGATCCCCTCCTCCTCTGGGATCAAAAAATCTTGTATTGAAATTTCGATCTGTCAATAATATTGTGATAGCTCCAGCTAAGACAGGTAGGGATAAGAGTAATAAGACAGCTGTGATTAAGATAGATCAAGAAAATAAGGATATTTGCTCTAATTTTATATTTTTTGGCCGTATATTGATGATGGTGCAGATGAAATTAATGGCTCCTATAATAGAGGAAACTCCGGCTAAGTGAAGACTAAAAATAGTTATATCTACAGATACGCTTCTGTGAAATAAAGAAGAAGAGAGAGGGGGGTATACTGTTCATCCTGTTCCAGCCCCTCTTTCTACTCATGAAGAGAGAATTAGTAGTGATAGAGAAACAGGCAGTAATCAGAAACTTATGTTATTTATTCGAGGGAAAGCTATATCAGGGGCATTTATTATAATGGGGATTAGTCAGTTTCCGAATCCTCCAATTATAATAGGTATAACTATGAAAAAGATTATTACAAAAGCATGAGAAGTGACTAGAACGTTATATATTTGATCATTTTTTAAGAAAGAGCCGGGTTGAGAAAGTTCGATTCGAATCAAAGCTCTTATTGCTGAGCCTAGCATTCCGGATCATAGTCCAAATATAAAATATAAAGTGCCAATATCTTTATGGTTAGTAGATGAAATTCATTTGTTTATTATAAAATACACATACCACATATTTATATATTTTTAAGATATAAAAATTTTGTATTTAATTAATTAAAAAATCATCAATATATAAAAGTATATAAATAAAGTCAAACAACATCAACAAAATGTCAATATCAAATAGCAGCCTCTAAGCCAAAGTGGTGTTTGTTATTTATTTCTATTTTATTTAGTCGTATTAATATCACAAATAAAAAAAGAGTTCCAATTGTGACATGAAGTCCGTGGAATCCTGTTGTTATAAAGAAGGTAGAGCCGTAAACTCTGTCGTTTATAGAGAATTTTGCTTCTCTATATTCGTAAACCTGAAGTAACCTAAATAAGACGCCCAGGGTTAAGGTTAATCAAAGTCTAAATATCCTATTATTATAATTTCTATTTAAGACTGAGTGATGGCATCAAGTTACTGTAATACCTGAGGAGAGAAGAATTAAAGTATTTAGAAGAGGGATTTGATAGGGATTAAATATGTAAATTTGGTAAGGAGGCCAGGTTCTTCCAATTTCAATTTCTGGAGAGAGGCTAAAATGAAAAAATCCTCAGAAGAAACTAAAAAAAAATATAATTTCTCTTAAAATAAATAATAATATCCTAAATTTTAATCCTGTGACCACCTTTTGAGTGTGACACCCTTGGAAAGATCCTTCTCGACAAATGTCTCGTCATCAATTGAACATACAAATAATTAGTAGGGCTAACAAAATAAAAATTATTTTTATATTGCTAGAGGTTCTATTTTTTATTAGAATAATGGATTGAGTTATTAAGTTTATTAATCTCAACGAAGTAATTAATGGCCAGGGCCTTAAGTCAACAATGTGAAATATATGTTTTCATTTTTTTAAAAAAGTTTTATTATTATAGTAATTTGACATTTCGTTGACATGAATCTAATTAGTCATTATAGTAAGTTTTGTATTCAATAAATTAATTATTAGATAATTTTATTATTTTTGTTACTTTTTTTTATAGTTTTATTAAGAATTGCTTTTCTCACTTTGATAGAACGGAAAATTTTAGGGTATATACAAATTCGAAAGGGCCCTAATAAAATAAGTGTGTTAGGGCTAGTTCAACCTGTTTTGGATGGTATGAAATTGTTTATAAAAGAATCTTTTTATATTAAAAGAGTTAATAAGTTTATATTTAATGTTTTTCCTTTTTTATTTTTTATATTAATAATAAATTGTTGATTTATATACATGTTTAATAAATATCATATTGTTAGTTATAGTCTGGTTTTTTTTATTTTGATTTCTGGTTTAAGAGTTCATAGTGTTTTAGGGGTTAGATGAGCCTCTAATTCTAAGTATGCTTTATTAGGAGCTTATCGTTTAGTGTCTCAAACAGTGTCTTATGAAGTTGGGTTAGTATTTTTATTGATAAATTTTGTTTTATTAAGTAAAAGATATAATTTATTAGATTTAATAGTTTTTAATAATTTTAGATTGATATCCTTTTATATTATATTTAATTTATTTTTAATTTGATTGGTAGTTATATTAGCGGAATTAAACCGTGCTCCTTTTGTATTTCTCTGAGAGAGAAAGAGAGCTGGTTTCTGGGTTTATATTGAGTTTGGATCTGGAAAATTTGCTTTGTTATTTTTAGCAGAGTATGGAAATATTATTTTTTTTTTCTTATTTGAGATCTGTTATATTTTTTATAAAAAATTGAATATTATTAATGTTATTAATTTTATTTTTAGTGGTATGAGTGCGAGGAACATTTCCTCGTTATCGTTATGATAATTTAATAAGGTTGAATTGAAAGGTGTTTCTGCCTTTTATTTTATTAATATATGTATTGATTTTTTTTATAAATTTTAATATATAATTTTAGTTAAAATTATATTAAAAATAACTTATAAATTAAAGGTTAATGTGATTTTTTTTAGTAGGTTATATTTTTTTTATAGGGGTGCTAGTGAATTTATTTATGTTGTATTATTTTATTTTGGAGGAAAATTTTATATTGCTAGAGGTTGTCTTATGAGATTTTTCATTGTTAGAGGTAAAATTGTATTTTTATGTGGATTATATGTCAGTGTTATTTATATTAGTGGTTAGAATAATTTCTATATTAACTTTTTTTTTTAGAAGGGTGTATATAGGAGTAGAGAATAATAAATATTATTTTATTATTTTGACTTTTATTTTTGTAATTTCTATATTTATTGTTATTTTGGGGATGAATTTATGAATAATTTTATTAGGGTGAGATATGTTGGGTGTAGTGTCTTATTTTTTAGTGGTGTTTTATAATTCTGAGATAAGAAATTATTCAGGTATTATTACTGTTATAACAAATCGTTGAGGGGATGTAGGCTTGATTTTGTCTTTATTTTTTTTTTTAAATGATTATTCTTTTGATATTATTAGAGAGGCTAGGTTAAAGAATTTATTTTTTATTTTTTTATTAATAAGATGTTTTACTAAAAGAGCTCAGTTTCCTTTTAGAGCGTGGCTTCCTTTAGCAATAGCGGCGCCTACTCCGATTTCGGCTTTGGTTCATTCCTCAACTTTAGTAACAGCAGGTGTTTATTTATTTATTCGGTTTAGGGGGTTTTTTAAAAATAATAGCTTTTTATTAAAGTTAGTTTTATTATTAAGAGTTTTTACTCTAAGGGTGGCAGGAGTAATAGCTTTTTTTGAAATAGATTTAAAAAAGGTTATTGCTTTTTCTACTCTTTCTCAATTAAGTTTGATAATAATTGTTTTATTTTTAGGTAATGAGGTTTTAAGATTTTTTCATATTCTTAGGCATGCTTTATACAAAGCTATGTTATTTTTATGTTCAGGGGTGTTAATTCATGAGAGAGGGAATAATCAAGATATTCGAGGGATAAATAAAGTATTGAAAAGTAATAAGTTAGTGCCTAGAGTTTTATTAGTTTGTAGGTTGTCTTTAATAGGTTTTCCTTTTTTAAGAGGATTTTATTCAAAGGATTTAATTATAGAAATAGTTTTTTCTTTGAATTTTAATGTATTTTTTTTTAGGTTTATAGTAGTTTCTGTTGTTCTTACTGTCATTTATAGTTTGCGTTTAATTTATTATAGGGTTTTAATAGGAAAAATAGGGGGTAGGTTTAATTTTGTTAGAGAGTGAAATTTTATATATTTAGTTTTAATATTAGGAGGAGTAGGTGTCCTGTTTTTAGGGTCTTTATTGAATTGGCTAATAATTGAGAAATTGGAGTTTATTTTTTTAATTAAAAGAGTGAAAAGATTGTGTTTAGTGCTGGTTTTAATTAGATTTTTTTTTTATTTTTGTGTAAATATGGATTTTTTAAAAATTTTAAAAAATAAGCAATACATATATACAAGATTTTTTTTAGTTTCTTTTCAAGGGGCTGTTTTTAATGTTTTATTTAATAAAACCAATTATATAGTATTTTATTTTGAACAAATATTTGAGAGCTCTCACTCTAAAGTTTTTTATGTAAGTGTGGAAGATAGAATTGCATATTTGGGTCTGATTAAGTATTTTTATTTTTATTTTAGCTTAATAGGCTTATTATTGGGTTATAAATTTTTATTTGTCAAATTAGTTAGTTTCTCTTAGGTAAAGAGAGATTAGGGTAATGAAAACATATCTTTGGATTACAGCTACAGCTGTTTCAAGTATTATTAAAATAATTAAAATAAAAAAAATAGTAGAGAATAATAATATTCTGTGACCTAGTATAGTGCTTAAAAGTGAGATTAAAATATGACCTGCGATTATGTTCGTTCTTAACCGAATAGAGAGTGTAATAGGGCGAATTAAAGATCTAATAGTCTCAATAATTACTATAAAAGGGCATAAAAGAATAGGGGTGTTTAAAGGGACAAGGTGTGAAAATCTTTTTAAAGGATTAAAAATTCATCTTTTTAAAAATAAGTTTAATCATAATGGCATGGCTATTCTTAAAGAAATAGATAGGTGTCTAGTTGGGGTAAAAATAAATGGAAAAAGTCTTATAAGGTTAGAAACAGAAATTAATAAGAATAAACTGATTAAAATATTTATAAATAAAATTTGTGATTTTTTTACATTATTCATTAGATTATTAAACATACTTTTATTGATTAATAGAATTGTAGTGGGATAACGGGATCTTTGAAAGAAGAGATTTTTAGGGAAAATAAGTAATAAAACAAATATAGCAACTCAGTTATTAAAAAAAAAAGTTTGGGATGCGGGGTCAAATATTGAAAATATATTATTTATCATTTTAATTTAAAATTTGGATTTATAAGAGTTCTATTTGTGGAGTTTGAAATTTTTTGTTTAAAAGGGGTGTAGAATAAGGTTAGGGATAGCGTAAGTATAGAAATTATAAGACATATAAAAATAAAAATTCAATTTATAGGGTTTATTTGTGGGATTCATTATAACAAAGAGGTTTGTATCTTAAAGCTTAAGAGGCTTATGCTTTGCTTAAGCTATATAATGATTTATAAATATCTTAAGAAAAAAATAAAATATACCAGTCTAGAAAATATAGAAGTTTCTATAAAAGGCTCTTCAATAGGGGCGGCTCCCATCAAAGTCAAAAATAAGAAGTTTATTAGTCAGGTAAAATAAAAAATTTTGAAGGTTATTGTTTCGTTATTTAAGTGTATTTTAATAGATTTAATGAAAGGTAAAGTTATTAAAATAAAAATAGACATAAATAATATTAGCACTCCTCCTAGCTTATTAGGGATGGTTCGTAAAATTGCATAAGCGAATAAAAAATATCATTCAGGTTGGATATGAGGGGGTGTGCTTAAAGGATTAGCTATAATGAAATTGTCAGGGTCTATAAAAATAAAAGGGAAAATGTTACATAAAATCAAAAAAATTATTATAAATAACCAAACAGTTAGTAAGTCTTTTCAGATAAAAAAAGGGTAAAAAGGGATTTTATCATAATTTGAGTTTAAGCCTAAGGGGTTATTAGACCCTTTTTCGTGTAAAAAAATAATGTGAATCAGTACTATACTTGTTATGATTAAAGGTAAAATAAAGTGTAGGGAGAAAAATCGCATTAGAGTGGGTTTTCTTACTGAAAACCTCCCCCATAACCAGGTTGTTATTGTTTGTCCGAAATAAGGGAAAGAAGAGAGTAAACTAGTGATTACTGTAGCACCTCAAAATCTTATTTGTCCTCATGGAAGTACGTAGCCTAAAAAGGCGGTGGCAAATAATAGCATTAAAATAGTGAATCCTGAGAATCAAACTTTATTTAGGTTAGAGAAAGATTTGAATATTAAGCTTCGTCCAATATGTATGTAAATAAAAATAAAAAAAAAGGAAGCTCCGTTGGCATGTATTGAACGCATCATTCAGCCTAAGTTTATATTTCGAGAGATTTGGCTAATTGAATCAAAAGAAGAGATTACTCTGTTCTCATAGAATATAGATAAGAGTAAACCTGTTGATAGTTGAATGGTTAAGCAAATTCCTAACAAAGCCCCAAAATTTCATCAGTATGAAATATTAGAGGGCATAGGTATGTATAAATTTTTTGTATAAAAATTTGACATTTTTAAAGTTTAAAGTATGGTTTTTAAGATATTAATAAATAAATTTAAATAATTATAAACATGTACAGACTAACACAAAGTGTAAATAAAATCCGCTGTAAATAACTATTAAGTAATTAGTATTAATTACCCAATTAAAAGTAACTATATTTTTAGAGATGTTTTTCTATTGATTGAAGTCTGACGTCCTTATAAATATGTGGTATACGTATATTGTTGTTTTTTTTATTTATGCTTAATCCTTTAGTTAAACTAAAGTATTAAATTATAAATTTTATTAATAATTTAATAAGCAATAAATTTATGTAAGTAAATATTCATAGCTTTCATTTAAAAAAAATCCTTTGGGATTTTAGGTTTATTATGATAAGATTTTAACTTGATTATTATTTTATTTTTAAAAAAAATCTTTTTAATTGGAAATTAAATATACTTTATATATTAATAAAATTATTAATTCAAAAAAGAAGTTTTCAATTTAAATCTCCAAAATTTATAGTTTTTATTTAACTTATTTTTTGATTTTGTTCATAGTTAAAACTTTTTTAATTTACAAAATTAATATAATAATAAATATATTATATGAACAATGGGATATTTTTATCAGTTTTATCATTAACAATGATTAGCTTCTTTTTAGCTTTCATTAAATTTTAATAAAAGGAGGATCCTTGATAGAATTATGAGTTCTATAACTTATATATAGTTTATTTTATTATTATTCAATTATCTTTTTTAAAAATTTTAACAAGTATTTTTTATATATTTACAGTTTTGTTTTGCGTTTCTAGAAACTCTCTCTTTTTTTTTTGAGTTTTATTAGAATTAAATATGCTATTTTTTATTATTTTAAATAATAATTTGAGGGTGTTTATGGTTAACTCTTTAATAAGTTATTTTATTTTACAAAGATTAACTAGAAATTTTATTTTAATAGGTTTTGTTTGTTTTCAGATTAATAAAATATGAATATTTGAGTATGAGGTTTTGATTTTTTTATGTTTTTGGTTAAAATTAGGGTTTTTTCCTTTTCATTCTTGATATTATCAAATTAGAGAAAATATATGTTGAGATATATGGTTTTTATTAAACACTTTTCAGAAATTGGTTATTATTTGAGGGTTGTCTTTTTATATGTTGAAGATTTTTTTTTTACAATTAATAATTATATTGAATGCTTTTTATTCTTTATTTGAGGTGATTAATCAAAATTCTTTACGTTGGATGATTAATAGGTCTTCTTTAAATCATTATAGATGAGTGCTTATTAGTATAACGTATATTGGTATAATTTGAGAAATTTATTGGTTGTATTATTTATTTATAAGAATTGTTTTGTTATTTTTAATAAAAATAAAGAATTTAAATAGATTGTTTACTTTAAGAGTAGGGGGATCATTAATTTTTAAATTATTAGTTTTTATTGTAATAATAAGATTCTTAGGTGTTCCTCCTTTGGCTGGTTTTTTGCCAAAGTTTTTAGTTTTATTGAGAGTAAATAATATTTTTGTCTTAATATTATTATTAATAGTAAGTTTATTTAGAGGGTTTATATATTTAGTTTATAGATTTTCTATAATTTATAATTTTTGTTTAAGAAAGATTATTAATGAGAAAAATTGATTTATATATATGTTTATAATTAGGTTTACTTTTTTAGTTAATTTTATAGGGTTTTTTTAAAAAAAGTTAGTTATTATTTAATAATATAAATTAATATAGCTATTCTTATATATTTTTTAATAACTGATAAAATTTATTTTTAATTAATCCTTTCGTACTAAATTAAAATATTTTTATTTATAGATAGAAACTAACCTGGCTCACGCCGGTTTAAACTCAAATCATGTAATAATTTAAAAGATGAGCAATCTTTCTTAAATAAATTCTGCTTTATTTAGATTTATTAATTCAACATCGAGGTCGTAAACTATTATATCAATATGAGCTTTCCATAATAATTACGCTGTTATCCCTGGAGTATTTTTCATTAATGTAAATTTTATCTTAAAAATAAAGTTTTTTAATATTTTTTTATCGCCCCAATCAAAATTAAATAATAAATAGATGTTGTTTAATTAAAAATTCACAGGGTCTTCTTGTCCCATATGATTATAAAAACTTTTTCATTTTTAAATGAATTTATATTTTTATTTTTAAAATAAATAATACTTATTAATCCATTCTTTTAGCATTCAATTAAAATCTTATTTCAATACCTTTGTAAAGTCAAAATACTTTAGCAATTTAAAAATTTATCATTGAGCAGAATTTATTTTTAATAATAACTAAAAAAAATGTTTTTATTAAACAGTTAAATATTTTTTTTGTCGAGTTTTTAAAAAATAAAAATGTTTTTATACTAATTTCTAAATTTTTTTATAAAATTAAAATTTATTTTATTATTATTATTAAAGAATATATTATTATGATTAGTGTGTAATTAATTTATAACAATTTTTAATAAATATTAAATTTTTTATTAAGTGTAAGAGTTTATTTATCTTCTATTTATTAAACTTTTATTTAATAAAAAGGATAATTTTTTATTTTATTTTAAAAAATTTAATTATCCTTATCTAAAATAATATTTATTTTAACCAGATATAAAAAATATGTATTTCATTTAAATTCTATTATGTGTTGTATATAAATTATTTAATATTTATATTTTAACAAATAATAGTTCATTTTTTTTCGGGAAAAAAAAATTAAGTTTGTTTTTTATAGAACCCTTATACAAAAGGTATAAAAAGTCTTTTTTTAAAAATTTTTAAAAGCCTTTACAGTTATTAAAAAAAATGTTTTATTTGAATTATTAAAAGATTTAATTTTATTTATTAAAGGAGTTTTGTTGTGTTTTTTTATAATTTTACATTAAAAGAAAATTTCTAAGGCTATGTCGAAAATAGTTGTAAATTGTTTTACTTTTTTAATTAAAAACACCTTCCGGTGTTTTTACTTTGTTACGACTTATCTCTTAGAGAATGACGGGCAATATGTACACTTAAAATTTTTTTATTCAAATTTATTTTATAGATAAATTTTACTTTTAAATTTTTCTTATTTTGATTATTTCAAATTTTCAATTTTTGTGAGATTTTAATCTGGTATAATTTATTTCAGACTTGCGCATTAGCTGCACTTTGCCCTAAAAATTCTTTTTAAAAACATTTAAAAATTTTTTATAAAATTTTTAAATAGAGGTATACAAACTGTAGAAGTTTACTAACGTAAGTAAGATTAAGGGGTTTTATCCATTACAGAATAAATTCCTCTAAAATTATTTTAAGCCGCCAATTTTTTTTAGTTTCGTGATTTTCATTTACTACTAATTTTTATATTTTAATAGGGTATCTAATCCTAGGTGTTGCTAACTAAAAATCAATAAAAAATATATTTTTAAAAAATTTAAATTTCACCTTAATATTTTTTATATTATAATTTTTATATAAAATTATTTTATAAAATATATACTTAAATCAATTATTGTATAACCGCAACTGCTGGCACAAATTTTTGTTATTGATATATTAATTAAAACTATATTTATTTAAAATTTTATAATTTTTTTTTCTAAATTATGAGTTAATTTTATAAAAATTTTAATTTTTATAAGTATTACACTAAAAATAAATGTATATTTCATCATTAAGGTAAAATTACATTTAAGAAATTTAAATTCTTTACATTTGTCTGCCACTTAATATATTATTATTGTATAATTAATTTTTTTTTATTATATATTAACTTATTATTTATTTTAAATTAAAATATTTTTAATAATAAAAGCTAGTTAAAGTTATAACTTAAAATTGTCATTTTTAGATTACTATTGTTAGTGTTTTTTAGTTTGATAAAAAACTAATATTTAGGCTTATTTTGATAGAATAAATTTAGCAATTTTGCTTTTATTATTTAAATTGGCAGATTATGTGTTATATTTAGAATATAAAGAAGAAAATAATATTTCATTTAAAATAGACAGTTGTCTTTTTAGTTTTGTAAGAACTAAATCTTTTGTAGAATATATTTTAATATAATTAATCATTATTTAATTTTTTTAAGTATGATTTTTAAGATATTAATAAACAAATTTAAATAATTATAAACATGTATAGACTAACACAAAGTGTAAATAAAATCCGCTGTAAATAACTATTAAGTAATTAGTATTAATTACCCAATTAAAAGTAACTATATTTTTAGAGATGTTTTTCTATTGATTGAAGTCTGACGTCCTTATAAATATGTGGTATACGTATATTGTTGTTTTTTTTATTTATGCTTAATCCTTTAGTTAAACTAAGTATTAAATTATAAATTTTATTAATAATTTAATAAGCAATAAATTTACGTAAGTAAATATTCATAGCTTTCATTTAAAAAAAATCCTTTGGGATTTTAGGTTTATTATGATAAGATTTTAACTTGATTATCATAATTTGCTTGCAAAGTAAATATTGCTATTAAATAAGGTAATTTATATTTTTCAAAAATTTATAGTTTAATAGGTTGAGTATATATTAATTTAAATTTTTGGTTAATGATCATTAGTATTGCTAATTATTTGCATATTTTAATAGGCGACGGGGTATTTGTTGAAAAGAAATGTAGTCATAGCATACTTATACTTTGATCAGTCTGGGTAGCCTTTAGATTATTTTAAGCCTTCGAGCATCTAGGAACGGATTCTCTAGAAGTGTTAGAGTTTTTTTGTTTTTTATTTATCTTGTGCATTAATTTTGTTATATTTAAAGTGACAATAAAATTTATTATACTATTTTTGTGGTTTTATATATATATATATATATATTCAACCTATAAATTATAATTTTTGTTTTTTTGCTTTATTGTTATCTTTTAGGCAGAGATTGTTATTAATATTTTTTTTCTAGTAAGGTAATTATTTTTAATAAATTCATTTTCTTATTATAACAGCCTTAGGGTTGATGAGTTTTTCATGAATTTGATCATTTTTTGAAATAACAATAAAGTATTTTACTAAATTTTAATTGTGAGTTTAGTATTTAATGTAAGTTGAACATATTAAATTTTGATTTTAATAATATAAATGTAAATTATAATACTAATTGATTAAATTTAAAATGTAGATTTCGATCTACAATTTAAGTATGGTTTTTAAGATATTAATAAATAAATTTAAATAATTATAAACATGTACAGACTAACACAAAGTGTAAATAAAATCCGCTGTAAATAACTATTAAGTAATTAGTATTAATTACCCAATTAAAAGTAACTATATTTTTAGAGATGTTTTTCTATTGATTGAAGTCTGACGTCCTTATAAATATGTGGTATACGTATATTGTTGTTTTTTTTATTTATGCTTAATCCTTTAGTTAAACTAAAGTATTAAATTATAAATTTTATTAATAATTTAATAAGCAATAAATTTACGTAAGTAAATATTCATAGCTTTCATTTAAAAAAAATCCTTTGGGATTTTAGGGTTGTTTATTTAGTTTAAATTAAAACAACAAATTGTGATTTTGTAGATAATTGTAACGATTATTAAATAAAAATAATTTAATAATACTTTTATTTGTATTTTTTATTTTTAGGGGTTTGGTTAACATTTTTTTTTTTTGTTATAGACTTTTGAGAGTAATAATTTCTATAGAATTTATAGTTATTTTTTTATTCTTTATTGTTCTTAAAAATTTTTATAGAGAGGAGTATTTTGCTTTATTGTTATTTTTAGTAATAGTAGTAAGCGATAGTATTTTAGGGTTGGTTTTATTGACTTTAAAGGTTTTTTTTAGCGGGGATGATATGATTAATTTAATCGATGTTTTTTAATTTGGTTTTTTTGGTTTTATCATTGTTACTATTCTTTGACTTGATTTATTATTATTTTTTATATTTTTTTTTAATAGGTCTTGTTTATTATTATATTGTGAATATTATTATTTATGATTATTTCTTATATTTTTTTGTAGATAATATTTCTTATTTATTGGTTATTTTATCATTTTATATTATTATATTAATTAATATTTATTTATTTAATTTTGATGATAATAAAATTATATATTTGTTTAATTTATTGGTTTTTTTCTTATTTTATTGTTTTTTTGTTAATAATTTGATTTTGATATATGTGTTTTTTGAGGCTTGTTTATTGCCTTTGATGATTGTAATTTTTTTAAATGGGTTGACTATAGAGCGATTAAAAGCTAGAACATATTTGATACTTTATACTCTTTTTGGGTCTTTTATTTTTTTATTAATAGTAATTGTTATAGATGTTTCTTTAAATATAGTTTTAGTTAAATTGAAAGCTTTTAATATAGAGACTAGCTATTTATGAGTTTTAGGGGTTTTTATTTTTTTAATTAAAATACCTATATATGGGGTTCATATTTGATTAACTAAAGCTCATGTTGAGTCTCCTGTCTACGGGTCTATAGTTTTAGCTGGGATTTTATTAAAGTTAGGAGGATATGGTCTTTATTGTTTAATAAATTATCTTAGAATTGTGAAATTTAAAATTTTGAGATGTAGTATTTTAAGAATTAGATTAATAGGGGCTTTAATAATTAGTGTAATTTGTTTACGTCAGATGGATGTAAAATTGATTATTGCTTGTTCGTCGGTTAGACATATAAGAATAGTGTTAGGAGGAATATTTTCTTTTAGTGAAATAGGGCTATGAGGGAGAGTGGGGCTAATATACGCACATGGGCTGTGTTCAAGAGGAATATTTTTTTTTAGAAATATCTTATATGATCGTTTGTATACACGAAATTTAATTTTTTTTAAAGGTTTATTTTATATTTATCCTTTTTTAGTTTATTTATGAATTTTATTTAATTTAATTAACATAGGTTTTCCTCCTTTTATAAATTTTTTTTTTGAGTTAATTTTAGTTTTTAGAATTATTAATAATAGACTATTTTTTATTTTTTTACTGTCAATTAATTTAATATTAGTTGTATTTTATAGTTTATTGTTATTTTGTCGGCTAGGGCATGGGAATACTTATTTATATCAATATATTATTAAAAATTTAAGGTTTTTAGAATTAAAGATTTTGATCTTTCATCTTTTTTATTTGTTTTTATTTTTAATAAAAATTAGTTTTATTATTTGTTTGGTTTAAATTTAAAATTTATATTTAAATTATATTTTTTACTTTGAAGGTAAATAGTTTTATTAACTTAAAATTTTAATTAGTTAGCTATGTATAAGCGTTTATTTTGAAAATAAAAGAAAGAATTTTCTACTAGTTTAATGTTAAAAGATTAAGCGTTTGCTTGTTAAAAAGTTAGAAGCTTTTTTTAGATCTTTACAAGGATTTGATAAAATTAATAAAATTATTTATGTTAGAAATTTTTAAGCAAATAGGTATAAATCTGTGGTTTGCTCCACAGATTTCTGAACATTGACCATAAAATATCCCTGGTCGAGAAGGGTATAGATTAATTTGGTTTAAACGACCGGGGATTGCGTCAGTTTTTACCCCTATTCTTTGAATCGTTCAAGAGTGAATTACATCAGCGGAAGTGATAAGTAATCGTGTAAAAGTGTTTATAGGGATATAAATTTTATTATCAGTTTCAATTAATCGAAATTTTTCTTTTCTGTTTTCTATGAATGAGTCAAATCTGCAATTAAAATCTCTATATTCGTAGGATCAATATCATTGGTGGCCGATGATTTTTATTGTAAGGTTAGGTGAAAAAGTTTCTTCTATTAAATACAGTAAACGAAGGCTAGGGAGAGCGATGAAAATTAATAGTAGTATAGGTATTAGTGTTCAGATTAATTCTAGAGTTTGATTTTCGTTTAGATTTAAATTAACACTATTTAAATACATTATTCTGAGTAAGTTAATTAATAGAAATCTAATAATTCTAGAGATTACAATTATTGAGTGATCATGAAAAAAGAGTAGTTGTTCTATAATAGGAGAATTAGCGTTTTGGAAATATATTCTATTTCAGTGTGACATAGTGGGTTAGAAAAGAAATTTCATCAAAGGTATGAGAGATTGGCCTGTTTTGGACAAATCATTCTGAGTCTGGGCCTCTGAAGTTATAAATAAATAGTTTGTTTTTATGAATTAATCTTAAATAAATTATTGAGATGAATAAAAACACACTGGTAATTCTAATTATACTTCCTAGAGAAGAAATTCAATTCCATAAATAAAAGAAGTCAGGATAATCAGAATATCGTCGAGGTATGCCATTTAGACCTAAAAAGTGTTGAGGAAAGAAAGTTATGTTCACGCCTGTGAATATTAGGAAAAAGTGAATTTTTATTAAATTATTATTAAATCTTATGCTAAATATTATGGGCCATCAAAAGAAAACTCCTCTAAAAATTGCAAATACAGCTCCTATAGATAAAACGTAGTGAAAATGAGCAACTACGTAGTAGGTGTCATGAAGAATAGTGTCAATTGAGGAGTTTGCTAGAATTACTCCTGTTACGCCTCCTATTGAGAATAAAAAAATAAATCCGATATTTCAAATTATGGAGATATTTCATTTGAAGTATGATCCATAAATAGTTGCTATTCATGAGAAAATTTTAATTCCTGTAGGAACGGCGATAATTATAGTGGCGGCAGTAAAATATGCTCGTGAGTCGATGTCTATACCTACTGTGAACATGTGATGAGCTCATACAATAAATCCTAATAATCCGATAGCTATTATTGCATAAATTATCCCTAAAGCGCCAAATGTTTGTTTTTTATTTCTATTGGTAAAAATAGTTTGTGAGATAATTCCAAATCCGGGCAGGATCAAAATATATACTTCTGGGTGGCCAAAAAATCAAAATAAGTGTTGGTATAATACAGGATCCCCTCCTCCTCTGGGATCAAAAAATCTTGTATTGAAATTTCGATCTGTCAATAATATTGTGATAGCTCCAGCTAAGACAGGTAGGGATAAGAGTAATAAGACAGCTGTGATTAAGATAGATCAAGAAAATAAGGATATTTGCTCTAATTTTATATTTTTTGGCCGTATATTGATGATGGTGCAGATGAAATTAATGGCTCCTATAATAGAGGAAACTCCGGCTAAGTGAAGACTAAAAATAGTTATATCTACAGATACGCTTCTGTGAAATAAAGAAGAAGAGAGAGGGGGGTATACTGTTCATCCTGTTCCAGCCCCTCTTTCTACTCATGAAGAGAGAATTAGTAGTGATAGAGAAACAGGCAGTAATCAGAAACTTATGTTATTTATTCGAGGGAAAGCTATATCAGGGGCATTTATTATAATGGGGATTAGTCAGTTTCCGAATCCTCCAATTATAATAGGTATAACTATGAAAAAGATTATTACAAAAGCATGAGAAGTGACTAGAACGTTATATATTTGATCATTTTTTAAGAAAGAGCCGGGTTGAGAAAGTTCGATTCGAATCAAAGCTCTTATTGCTGAGCCTAGCATTCCGGATCATAGTCCAAATATAAAATATAAAGTGCCAATATCTTTATGGTTAGTAGATGAAATTCATTTGTTTATTATAAAATACACATACCACATATTTATATATTTTTAAGATATAAAAATTTTGTATTTAATTAATTAAAAAATCATCAATATATAAAAGTATATAAATAAAGTCAAACAACATCAACAAAATGTCAATATCAAATAGCAGCCTCTAAGCCAAAGTGGTGTTTGTTATTTATTTCTATTTTATTTAGTCGTATTAATATCACAAATAAAAAAAGAGTTCCAATTGTGACATGAAGTCCGTGGAATCCTGTTGTTATAAAGAAGGTAGAGCCGTAAACTCTGTCGTTTATAGAGAATTTTGCTTCTCTATATTCGTAAACCTGAAGTAACCTAAATAAGACGCCCAGGGTTAAGGTTAATCAAAGTCTAAATATCCTATTATTATAATTTCTATTTAAGACTGAGTGATGGCATCAAGTTACTGTAATACCTGAGGAGAGAAGAATTAAAGTATTTAGAAGAGGGATTTGATAGGGATTAAATATGTAAATTTGGTAAGGAGGCCAGGTTCTTCCAATTTCAATTTCTGGAGAGAGGCTAAAATGAAAAAATCCTCAGAAGAAACTAAAAAAAAATATAATTTCTCTTAAAATAAATAATAATATCCTAAATTTTAATCCTGTGACCACCTTTTGAGTGTGACACCCTTGGAAAGATCCTTCTCGACAAATGTCTCGTCATCAATTGAACATACAAATAATTAGTAGGGCTAACAAAATAAAAATTATTTTTATATTGCTAGAGGTTCTATTTTTTATTAGAATAATGGATTGAGTTATTAAGTTTATTAATCTCAACGAAGTAATTAATGGCCAGGGCCTTAAGTCAACAATGTGAAATATATGTTTTCATTTTTTTAAAAAAGTTTTATTATTATAGTAATTTGACATTTCGTTGACATGAATCTAATTAGTCATTATAGTAAGTTTTGTATTCAATAAATTAATTATTAGATAATTTTATTATTTTTGTTACTTTTTTTTATAGTTTTATTAAGAATTGCTTTTCTCACTTTGATAGAACGGAAAATTTTAGGGTATATACAAATTCGAAAGGGCCCTAATAAAATAAGTGTGTTAGGGCTAGTTCAACCTGTTTTGGATGGTATGAAATTGTTTATAAAAGAATCTTTTTATATTAAAAGAGTTAATAAGTTTATATTTAATGTTTTTCCTTTTTTATTTTTTATATTAATAATAAATTGTTGATTTATATACATGTTTAATAAATATCATATTGTTAGTTATAGTCTGGTTTTTTTTATTTTGATTTCTGGTTTAAGAGTTCATAGTGTTTTAGGGGTTAGATGAGCCTCTAATTCTAAGTATGCTTTATTAGGAGCTTATCGTTTAGTGTCTCAAACAGTGTCTTATGAAGTTGGGTTAGTATTTTTATTGATAAATTTTGTTTTATTAAGTAAAAGATATAATTTATTAGATTTAATAGTTTTTAATAATTTTAGATTGATATCCTTTTATATTATATTTAATTTATTTTTAATTTGATTGGTAGTTATATTAGCGGAATTAAACCGTGCTCCTTTTGTATTTCTCTGAGAGAGAAAGAGAGCTGGTTTCTGGGTTTATATTGAGTTTGGATCCAGAAAATTTGCTTTGTTATTTTTAGCAGAGTATGGAAATATTATTTTTTTTTTCTTATTTGAGATCTGTTATATTTTTTATAAAAAATTGAATATTATTAATGTTATTAATTTTATTTTTAGTGGTATGAGTGCGAGGAACATTTCCTCGTTATCGTTATGATAATTTAATAAGGTTGAATTGAAAGGTGTTTCTGCCTTTTATTTTATTAATATATGTATTGATTTTTTTTATAAATTTTAATATATAATTTTAGTTAAAATTATATTAAAAATAACTTATAAATTAAAGGTTAATGTGATTTTTTTTAGTAGGTTATATTTTTTTTATAGGGGTGCTAGTGAATTTATTTATGTTGTATTATTTTATTTTGGAGGAAAATTTTATATTGCTAGAGGTTGTCTTATGAGATTTTTCATTGTTAGAGGTAAAATTGTATTTTTATGTGGATTATATGTCAGTGTTATTTATATTAGTGGTTAGAATAATTTCTATATTAACTTTTTTTTTTAGAAGGGTGTATATAGGAGTAGAGAATAATAAATATTATTTTATTATTTTGACTTTTATTTTTGTAATTTCTATATTTATTGTTATTTTGGGGATGAATTTATGAATAATTTTATTAGGGTGAGATATGTTGGGTGTAGTGTCTTATTTTTTAGTGGTGTTTTATAATTCTGAGATAAGAAATTATTCAGGTATTATTACTGTTATAACAAATCGTTGAGGGGATGTAGGCTTGATTTTGTCTTTATTTTTTTTTTTAAATGATTATTCTTTTGATATTATTAGAGAGGCTAGGTTAAAGAATTTATTTTTTATTTTTTTATTAATAAGATGTTTTACTAAAAGAGCTCAGTTTCCTTTTAGAGCGTGGCTTCCTTTAGCAATAGCGGCGCCTACTCCGATTTCGGCTTTGGTTCATTCCTCAACTTTAGTAACAGCAGGTGTTTATTTATTTATTCGGTTTAGGGGGTTTTTTAAAAATAATAGCTTTTTATTAAAGTTAGTTTTATTATTAAGAGTTTTTACTCTAAGGGTGGCAGGAGTAATAGCTTTTTTTGAAATAGATTTAAAAAAGGTTATTGCTTTTTCTACTCTTTCTCAATTAAGTTTGATAATAATTGTTTTATTTTTAGGTAATGAGGTTTTAAGATTTTTTCATATTCTTAGGCATGCTTTATACAAAGCTATGTTATTTTTATGTTCAGGGGTGTTAATTCATGAGAGAGGGAATAATCAAGATATTCGAGGGATAAATAAAGTATTGAAAAGTAATAAGTTAGTGCCTAGAGTTTTATTAGTTTGTAGGTTGTCTTTAATAGGTTTTCCTTTTTTAAGAGGATTTTATTCAAAGGATTTAATTATAGAAATAGTTTTTTCTTTGAATTTTAATGTATTTTTTTTTAGGTTTATAGTAGTTTCTGTTGTTCTTACTGTCATTTATAGTTTGCGTTTAATTTATTATAGGGTTTTAATAGGAAAAATAGGGGGTAGGTTTAATTTTGTTAGAGAGTGAAATTTTATATATTTAGTTTTAATATTAGGAGGAGTAGGTGTCCTGTTTTTAGGGTCTTTATTGAATTGGCTAATAATTGAGAAATTGGAGTTTATTTTTTTAATTAAAAGAGTGAAAAGATTGTGTTTAGTGCTGGTTTTAATTAGATTTTTTTTTTATTTTTGTGTAAATATGGATTTTTTAAAAATTTTAAAAAATAAGCAATACATATATACAAGATTTTTTTTAGTTTCTTTTCAAGGGGCTGTTTTTAATGTTTTATTTAATAAAACCAATTATATAGTATTTTATTTTGAACAAATATTTGAGAGCTCTCACTCTAAAGTTTTTTATGTAAGTGTGGAAGATAGAATTGCATATTTGGGTCTGATTAAGTATTTTTATTTTTATTTTAGCTTAATAGGCTTATTATTGGGTTATAAATTTTTATTTGTCAAATTAGTTAGTTTCTCTTAGGTAAAGAGAGATTAGGGTAATGAAAACATATCTTTGGATTACAGCTACAGCTGTTTCAAGTATTATTAAAATAATTAAAATAAAAAAAATAGTAGAGAATAATAATATTCTGTGACCTAGTATAGTGCTTAAAAGTGAGATTAAAATATGACCTGCGATTATGTTCGCTCTTAACCGAATAGAGAGTGTAATAGGGCGAATTAAAGATCTAATAGTCTCAATAATTACTATAAAAGGGCATAAAAGAATAGGGGTGTTTAAAGGGACAAGGTGTGAAAATCTTTTTAAAGGATTAAAAATTCATCTTTTTAAAAATAAGTTTAATCATAATGGCATGGCTATTCTTAAAGAAATAGATAGGTGTCTAGTTGGGGTAAAAATAAATGGAAAAAGTCTTATAAGGTTAGAAACAGAAATTAATAAGAATAAACTGATTAAAATATTTATAAATAAAATTTGTGATTTTTTTACATTATTCATTAGATTATTAAACATACTTTTATTGATTAATAGAATTGTAGTGGGATAACGGGATCTTTGAAAGAAGAGATTTTTAGGGAAAATAAGTAATAAAACAAATATAGCAACTCAGTTATTAAAAAAAAAAGTTTGGGATGCGGGGTCAAATATTGAAAATATATTATTTATCATTTTAATTTAAAATTTGGATTTATAAGAGTTCTATTTGTGGAGTTTGAAATTTTTTGTTTAAAAGGGGTGTAGAATAAGGTTAGGGATAGCGTAAGTATAGAAATTATAAGACATATAAAAATAAAAATTCAATTTATAGGGTTTATTTGTGGGATTCATTATAACAAAGAGGTTTGTATCTTAAAGCTTAAGAGGCTTATGCTTTGCTTAAGCTATATAATGATTTATAAATATCTTAAGAAAAAAATAAAATATACCAGTCTAGAAAATATAGAAGTTTCTATAAAAGGCTCTTCAATAGGGGCGGCTCCCATCAAAGTCAAAAATAAGAAGTTTATTAGTCAGGTAAAATAAAAAATTTTGAAGGTTATTGTTTCGTTATTTAAGTGTATTTTAATAGATTTAATGAAAGGTAAAGTTATTAAAATAAAAATAGACATAAATAATATTAGCACTCCTCCTAGCTTATTAGGGATGGTTCGTAAAATTGCATAAGCGAATAAAAAATATCATTCAGGTTGGATATGAGGGGGTGTGCTTAAAGGATTAGCTATAATGAAATTGTCAGGGTCTATAAAAATAAAAGGGAAAATGTTACATAAAATCAAAAAAATTATTATAAATAACCAAACAGTTAGTAAGTCTTTTCAGATAAAAAAAGGGTAAAAAGGGATTTTATCATAATTTGAGTTTAAGCCTAAGGGGTTATTAGACCCTTTTTCGTGTAAAAAAATAATGTGAATCAGTACTATACTTGTTATGATTAAAGGTAAAATAAAGTGTAGGGAGAAAAATCGCATTAGAGTGGGTTTTCTTACTGAAAACCTCCCCCATAACCAGGTTGTTATTGTTTGTCCGAAATAAGGGAAAGAAGAGAGTAAACTAGTGATTACTGTAGCACCTCAAAATCTTATTTGTCCTCATGGAAGTACGTAGCCTAAAAAGGCGGTGGCAAATAATAGCATTAAAATAGTGAATCCTGAGAATCAAACTTTATTTAGGTTAGAGAAAGATTTGAATATTAAGCTTCGTCCAATATGTATGTAAATAAAAATAAAAAAAAAGGAAGCTCCGTTGGCATGTATTGAACGCATCATTCAGCCTAAGTTTATATTTCGAGAGATTTGGCTAATTGAATCAAAAGAAGAGATTACTCTGTTCTCATAGAATATAGATAAGAGTAAACCTGTTGATAGTTGAATGGTTAAGCAAATTCCTAACAAAGCCCCAAAATTTCATCAGTATGAAATATTAGAGGGCATAGGTATGTATAAATTTTTTGTATAAAAATTTGACATTTTTAAAGTTTA